ATGGTATCAAAACGTCCTGCAAGAGCGACTTCTTCCAACAATCCATGAGCAATTTGGTGATGATCCGTGCATTTTCCAGCATGATGGAGCACCATGTCACAAAGCAGGAGTGATAAAGAAGTGGCTCGAATATCATTACATTGAAATTTTAGATCGGTGGCCAGGCAACTCCCCAGATCTCAGTCCCATAGAGAACCTGTGGTCATTCTTAAAAAGGCGAGTGGACAAGCAGAAGCCCACAAATCGTGATTAACTCCGAGAACTAATAAGGCAAGAGTGGATCACCATCAGTCAGAATTTGGCCCAGAAGCTGATATCCAGCATACCAGAGCCAATTGCAGAGGTTATGAAGAACACTGTAAATATTGACTCATTATATTTTTTTGCCAATAAAAGCCTTTAAAACTTACGATTTTCAGTATACCATAGACACATGTGGAAAAATTATCTACAAATACTGAAGCCGCAAACTTTACAAAACACAAAATTAATGTCACTGCCAAAACTTTTGGCCACGACTGTACATATTAGATTAGAAAACCTTAAAGATTAGATACATTGCCTTGGAAACTAACTGCAACCAAATAATCTTAAATTGAAGTACTCAAATTACACTGAATAAAACTAATTAGAAATATAAAAAAAACGCAAAAGCACATTACAAAAACATGAAAACTTAAATCAAAATGAATATATTAAAAAAAGGTAATACAAAATTAATGTCACTGCCAAAACTTTTGGCCACGACTGTACATATTAGATTAGAAAACCTTAAAGATTAGAAACATTGCCTTGGAAACTAACTGCAACCAAATAATCTTAAGTTGAAGTACTCAAATTACATTGAATAAAACATATAAAAATATAAATTTAAAATATAAAAAAACGCAAAAGCACATTACAAAAACATGAAAACTTAAATCAAAATGAATATATTAAAAAAAGGTAATTCAAAATATAAATAAATACTACAAGAATATATAAATAATATAAAAATAACACTTCTATAACATACATTAGAGTATTCAAAATTTGCATACGCTACCTTTTTCTTTTTCTTCTTCTTCTCTTTTTTACTCAAGTTAGCAAAAGGGTCGTCCTCTTGTTTCTCTTTGGCCTGCTCAGCTGTGAGGGCATCCTCGGCACTCTACGGGACAGGAAGCAGGATATCAAGAAAATAAGGACAAAGAGATAGAAAGTGGATGAATGAACACTTGGAAATTATGAATATTTGGAATACAAAAAGAGAAAATTGTTGTACCATCATTGTGTCATTTTCATCACTCTTTTCCTCCTCTTCATCATCATCATCATCATCACTAGGAGGAGGGCGAGCGGGCTTCCCTTTCTTAAAATCACAGAAAAGACACTATGACAAACATTTTACTACAATACTTATTTTCATTCACCATGCGCTGACTTTCTCTCTTACTTTTATTAATCAAAAGTGACAGTAAAGACTTTTATAATGTTGCAAATCATTTATATTTCAAATAAATACTGTTATTTTGAACTTTCTATTCATCAAAAAAAGTATCATGGAGTCTACAAAAATATTTAGCGGCACAACAGCTTTCAATAATATAATACTCATTTATATTTCAAATAAATACTGTTATTTTGAACTTTCTATTCATCAAAAAAAGTATCATGAGTCTACAAAAATATTTAGCGGCACAACAGCTTTCAATAATATAATACATAATAATAATAATATAAAAAGTTTTTGAGCAGCAAATCAACATTTTAGAATGATTTCTGAAGGATCATGTGCCACTGAAGACTGGAGTAATGATGCTGAAAATTCAGCTTTGCATCGCAGAAATAAATAACATTTTAAAATGTATTCAAATAGAAAACATTTGAAACGGTAATATTACTCAACTCTGTCATCTTAAGCGATATTCCAAATCACAAAGAGCGTGTACGCACATTTTAATGCATAAATACATACATAAACATACAAAAATATCTTAATCTGACCTTGGGCTGTTCCTTCTTGCCTTTCTTCTGAGACTTCTCCTGTTCTCTCTCTTCAATTTCATCTCCCTCCTGTCAACATTAAGATGCCCTTTAGGTTGCACACACTTGGATTTTTTTTTTCAAATTCTTTTTTTAATATTTAATATTATATTTTTTTATATTTCTTTTCAAAACAAATCGTATCCATCAAAACCTGAGTCACACACCTTAGATGGTTTAGCAGCGGCTTTCTTGCCCTTCTTCCCTCCTTTCTTTTCATTCTCATCTTTCTTCTCCATCTCTTCATCTTTTTCCTCCTCTGAGGCTTCCTGTGTTTGAGAGAAGAGAGTAAAACAAAGATCCTGGAGGAAAAATCAGAGCACCGCTCACCAATCAGACATAGTGTTAGTAAGACAGACTGGAATGTACAGAAAAGGGTTAGTTTCCATGATGAGCGAAGCACTTCCATCATGTAGCAATAAAGAAACAAAACTGCAAGGTGGGAGAAAGACAGAAGATGTGAATTTGGAAGAAAGAAAATAGTGAATAAGAATATAAAGAAACAATCCCATGTACCCACCTTTATTATCTTAGGTTTAGCCTGATCTTTTTTCTTGCCCTTGGTTACCTTCTCAACTTCCTGAATCACATACACACACGTACAGAAACAGGCACATGTGCTTATGAATGTAGAAATATTCAAAATGCAGCCCAATATGTTCTTCCCTTCTGTATAACAAACAATGTGACTGCATGCAATCTTGATTACTGGAATGATTTGAAATGATAAATGATATGAATCAGCCTGAATTAAGACGGATGACGGATGAGTGGCAATATTACATGAATCCATTAAGAAACTTCACTTTTAATGTCTGAAACAATGAGTGCACTGGCACTGATCTGGAAAAGAAAAGAATGAATGAAAATGGAATGAATTCCACTGGGAATGTCATGAAGAGAGAGAGGACATGAGGGATTGGCTGGAATGGGACTGAAAGAGGAATAAACACAATATTAGAGAGGATGAGTTATGTGGTGTGTGATGCATATGTACTGTTGGTTAGGTATATGAAATCTGATGACGCTGTTAAGATAATATCATGAACAGCGATAGTACAGATAGCCACTAAAACTATTGAAACAATATGTAAATATGAATTTAACAAACAATGTCGTCCATGCAATTTCTCTTTACAAGAAAATAGTAGTAGTTTAGCAGTTTATAGTAGCAATTTAAATCGTAAATTCTTATTCTTATAAAGTTTCAGAAAAACTACTTATACTCCATATGAAACTATTTTAAACGGCATTTTGCCAATTCAATTAGTTCCTATTTGCTACAAATTCATTTTAGTGCTTAATATTAATTTAGAGCCTACGTGGTATATTTGTACTTTAAAAATGTGTTATTTTAAAACTAACTAGTGAGGGTAAACATTGACGAATGATAATAAACTAGTTATATAAACATATAATGCATATCAATTTTAACCTGAAAAACATTTTTTTTTAAAAATTCCATGGATATGAAACTAATATTTGTGATACACTGATCTGATTTAACTGTAATGTATAAAGCATTATATAAATAAAAAACTGACTAATTTCCCATAAAACTAAACATACGTTTATGTCTATTTCATGTATGTGTATATAAGTCTATACATAGAAACTAAACCTGATACATAATGACTGACACTGAAACGGGAAGCACGCACCTTTGAGCTCTTCTTGCTTTGGGGTTTCTCATCAACATCGTCATCATCGCCTGCGTCCTCTTCATCGTCATCACTTTGCCCCTGACTCAGAGCAGCAAATATGTTGCCACCCTGACAGAAAGAGAAGGACAAAAAATATATATATAAAAATCAAAGCTCTGTGGATCGGATCACATGACTTAAATTGCACTGTTCTATACACTGTGCAGCAGGAGGAAAATTATTCTGTCCACAAAGTGCATCCCAGTGAAGAGAAGTACCGCATAGTATATCAAAGCAACTCACTTTGTTTTTCTTTCCTCCTTTGACTGGAGCAACTACTGCAAAACAAAAATAAACCATGACGTTAAATATGTGGTGTGATGTGTGACATACTGGCACAAACCAAGTTTATGACATTACCCTCTTCCTCTTCTTCATCTTCATCACTGGGCTGGACTGACAGTTTCTTGAGGCGCTGCATGACCTCTGCATCATCATCATCATCCTCATCGTCTCCTGGTTTCCCTTTCCGCCTGTCTTTCTTTTTCTTCTGAGGCTAACAGCAAATGAAAAAGCAATCCAAAAACATAACATATTTGACTGTAATTAAATGTACTTTAAATTTAATTAAATATATGGTAACACTTTATTTTAAGGTGTCCATGTTACGCATGTTAAATGTACTATTATAATAACAATAATTTATGCATAATTACATGCGAGAAACCCTAAGCCAAACCCTAACCATATAGTAAGTACATGTAGTTAATTAATACTTAGTACTGAAATGTATAATTACACTGTAACAAGGACACCTTAAATTAAAGTGTAACCAAATATATTTTTTTCTTTATATAATGCATTTATAAACATTGGAATTAATTCAAACAATGCACCTGTTTCCCTTGTGCCTCTTTCACTGGTGGCTCTTCTACTTTTTCTGGTTTAATATCTGATGCCAGCTCCTCAAAAAACTGTCAAGATAAAAAAAAAAATATAAAAATGCAGAAATATGCATAAAACAATTCTGATGTCAGTCAGAGGTATTGGTTTTAAAAATGTATTTATTATTATTTTTGCAATTGTGTTTGGTTCTGTTAGAGCTGGTGCAACTCAGGAAATATTATTAAACAAATTGTAATTAAATATTAATAAGAGTAACTAAAAATGAAACATCAGATAATGCTTAGATAAAAATAGTTTGGATTTTTTACATTTGTTCGAACTTGAATGAACTCTTGAGTTCAAGCATAATGCTTATAATGAAAGTTATAACAAATCACAGTCGTGCATTAACACAAATAAAAACTTACACTCTTCTTCCCCCTCTTATCCTTCTTTCCTTTTTTGACATTTTTTTCTAAACAAAGAAAAATGATTATGTTAAGCACTTTTGTAGACAGAAATACACTCAAACACACTAAACAGACTCAAATGAACACGCGCTATTTGACAGCAGTATGACAATGCCACAGAAAGAATAGTTTGTGTATAGGTTTAAAACAACAGCTTTCTCAAAAAAACCTAGTGAGCTGACTACCGAGACAGCATTTTTTGGCAGCACAGGCATGTCCCCCCAAAAAAATGCTGTCTAGGTAGGCAGCTCACTAGGTTTTGAAACAACCGCTATATCAGCATTTAAAACTTGCGCAGTTGAAACTAGGCCTGCCACGATAACATCTTTTTGTTGTGCGATATATTGCCCCAGAAATAATTGCGATAAGCGATATTATTGTCATTTTAAAGACCATTATTTTGTGTATTTGGTGTAACAGAATATGTTGACATGCTTTAATGTTCAAAAACAAGACAGTTAATAATGTCGTTAGTTTTACCTTAAGTTCAAGCCCGAAAGGGCAACAGAGTTGCGTGACCAACCCTCTACATTGCAAGTAAATCACTCGCATATGCGACTAAATCTTCACTCTGGGCG